CCTGCGACCTAAAGTGTGTTTTAGATTTTGGCCCCCTGCGCAATTGAGTTTGACACCCCTGCACTACTGCATTTTGGGCCATTTGAAGCTTCTGGGTGATCTTCAAGGGATTACAGTAGTCCAGTTGGGAGGTAACTAAGGCATGTGAGACCATGAGCAGGCCCTCCCAGTCCACAAATGGGTGCAATTGGCACACCAGATGGATTTGTGCACCCCCCCCCCAGGATTAACTACTATCTGCTTCTTTAGGACTCCCAAATTGCACACCAACTCTCTCCAGGGGACTGCTACCCCATCAAGAATTAAACATAATAACTCTACAGATCCAAGGGTCCCAAAAATCCAGAACCAATCCATCTTGTTAGGGCTAAATCACAGCCAGTTCTTATCCATCTAGACCCTCACATCCTTCAGGTACTGGGTAAACACCTGAATAATGTTGCTTGTCTGGCCTGGGGTAGAGATGTACAGCTGAGAGGCAAGGATGTGTAGAGATTTCCATATTTTAGGAGGCAAGATATTCCACAGCATGGGGACAGCTACAGTTGAGGCATACTGTTGGGTCCTCACTTTCTTGACTTTACTTGGTAGTAGTAATCACAAAGTAGCAGTAATCACTCCCTACAACAATGCAAAGATCATGTCAGATCTTGTCAAGAGGGCTGGACCTGTAGGTATCCAAGATCCAAACCATGTAGGGCTTTAAAGATGACAATCATAATTTTGAATTGGTCCTGGAAACAAATCAGTAACTGGTGTAGCAAGCATAGCATAGTGACGAAATCTGCTACCTTTAGTTAGCTGAAAGGATGCTTCACTTTGGACCAACTAATGCTTCTAGGTTGTCTTCAGAGGCAGCATCATGTAGAGAATATTGTAGTAGACTGAGGTGACAACACTTGACTTACTTTACTCAGGTAAACCTTCAATTGGTGGATAAGTGTCAACCCTATAAGGCAGACCATGCCAAGAAACCAATGCCATATAGGCATAAAGCTACTTTTATTGGGACACTTATAGTAACAGAATTTGTCAGTCTGAACGTGTTCCCCCCTCCCTCACTTTATCTTTATGTGAAGTAGGGAGGGGCTTGTCTGAAGCATTTTCTCAAATCAGTTTCTTGGAATAGACTCAAGCTCCCCTTGCCTGATCATTGCCTATGTAGTGACTCTTCCTCCTGTCCTTCAAAGGCATTGCCTAAGCCCCCTACACTAAGCAGAGGTAGCCAAACCATCCCTGCCATGTCTTCCACCTGCTGGGTTGGAGCTGTAATCCAGGAAGAACCCCAAATTACCTGCTTTTTGAGGTCGAGTGCAATATGTCCATCAGGAGTTAAAACCAAAGCCAGGATAAAGCCAAATTTCTTAACAATAGACAGCAACTCTGGCTTGCAGAACTTGCTTTGGCCTTTCCAGGCAATGGCACCTCACCACAAAATAATGGATTACTTCTGTAGTGGCTTCGTGTGGATGGTGAGTAGTGTGAGGGAGAAATCGAATTACCGTGCTGTTTTCATTCCATGTCAAGGTTGAAATCCTATTGAACAGATTGGAGATTAACCAGTATGTTGCATAGGTTGGTTGTATCAAGAGATGGTCTATTTAGAACTGGGTACATAATCTCCTTTTTCAAGACTGATGGCAGTCTTCCGAGAAATGTTTACCATCTCCCAAATTAACCACATGTAGTCCATCTACGCAATTTATGGATCCAGCTTGCAGGAAGCAGAGTTCATGCCCTAGAAGAGCCCATCTGCTTCCTCTGTCTCCTCCACAAGCTCAAAAGAATCTCAGATAACCTTACAAGATATAACTAATTTGTTCTACCTGTCTAATGCTTCAGTAATTAAAATTCTTCAAAATCACAGTAAAATGGTACCCAACATAATACTCCCATGAAACCAATTCAGATTCTGTAAGGTTCTAAATCTTGGAACAAGTAGAACTTCCTATTTATGTTTGAAATTTTAAAACTTAAATATTTTTGTGGTTTGTTTAAATGCTGTAATTCTGCTATAACCTCTAGTTAATATGCTGCTTTGGTTTTGAAGTTTAACTTCTCTTTGTCAAATAGGTAACTCTGTTAAATGTGAAAGGTAATTCATTTTTTCTTATACAGCTATAAGTAGTTCTTCTTCTGATGACAGTGATGAAGGCACAGATGAAGAACTAAAGAGTGAAGAAAGTGACATTGATGAAAAGATAGAAATGGTATGTTCATATAAATTCTGGATATATTTACAAATAAGAAATGCCACAAAACACTTTAGAAACAACAATCAAAACCATTTAAGTATAAAGCATGAGAATATTTTAGAGTGGATTGTATAATTAAGAATTAAGCTGTGCAGATGCTGGGTGAAAAAAAGCTGTTAAGTATCTTTATTTTTTTAAAATGAGTCTCAATACACCATTTGATTTTATAAATCATTTTCAGATTCACAGGCATATTGTTAAAAATACAGGTTACGGTAGTGAGACTTGCTACCAAGTAAATATGTGATATTAAACTGTTAAATTAGCCAGAACACGTCTTAGTAATTTTAGTTTGAAATTATAAATATATGAAAATTTTTGTCCATAAGGCAATGTTTATTATCTAATGTCAGTTCAAATCTGCACTGCAAAGTATGTGCACTTACTACAAGTTTTGATTTGGGGGCTGGATCCACAGCTTTGGAAAATGCCTAATTTGCTTTGGAATGAACCATAGATTTTCTGATCTATGACTCTAGATCTAGATAAGAATCCTTAAAAGAGATGATCAGACTATTGGTATCCATTCTCAAATAAAAAAGAGAAAACAAACTTAGAGGGCCCTCTAGATGGCGTGCATTTTATATATTGTATTATTTATATCTTGAATAGGAGAGTGATACCAGCTCTTTAAAAAGGGCAGGGAGATGCAGGGAGAAGTTACATGCTGATCAGTTTATTGTCTTTTCTGAATAAATTGTAAAAACAGTAATTAAAAAGTCCTAAACACATAGAAGAACAAGAACTGCTGAAAGGAAAGATGGCTTGGATTTTGTAAATGTGAATCCTGCCTCACCAACCTTCTGGAGGGTTTTTTTTTTTTTAATTGTTAGTAGGAACTGATCATTGCAAACTTGGATTTTCAGCAAGTCTTTGATAAAGTTTCTTGTCAAAGGCCTTTGAAGAAATTTAGCAGTCATGGGATAAGAGGACTTGACCTTTAATGGTTTGCTACTATCTGTAACTAACCAGGAAAAAGAGACTGGGAGTTGTAGTAGATTGATCAGGGAGGATGTTGATTCATAGTTCAAGCTGTGAAAACGGCAAATTCCATGCTAAGGATCATTAGGAAAGGGACTGGAAAAAAGTAGATTTTGTAAAAGCACTGAGATTTACATCATCCCAAAGCTCCAAGATACAGATCAGAATTGGACTTCTATCTTGCATGAAGCTATTTTGGATATGTTTCTCTTTGCCTTGGTCTGCAACAGGTTTTTAATTGTGGTTTCAGGTTTGATGTATGCCTCATTATACCGTTTCAATATTCCTAATAGTCTATTGTATTTAATGTAGCATAAGTAAATTTGTATAATTTTTTTTAATGTTGATTATATTCATACAGAAAGAAGAGCAAGAGACTCATGCTAAAAGGGATATGGAAGAAAGAGCAATAAACATAGAAATTCCTGAAATCTTGAAAAAGAAACTTGAAGAGGATTGTTACTATATTAACAGGCGAAAGCGAGTATGAAACATTTTATGCAAATTAAAATAATTGGATATAGTAATGCTAAATAATGTTTTGACAGTGCAATCATTTGCATGATTTGTCAGATATAAGATTGATTTAAGTTCCAGAGGATTTGATACAGGGTAAGTATATACAACTTTACAACCTATGCAAACAAATATGAAAACTAGTGAAAAGGTGTTCTACAGTATGATTTAATAGTAATTTGTTTTATTAGAGTTTGAAGGAAATAGATTAATTGTAAGCTGAAATCTTCAGGATCTTCCTTTTTTATTGCCTTTTCTATTCCACAGGTAATATAACTGAGAGTATATTAGCCTTGAGATAGCATAGGGGTAGCATTGGACATAAAGATTCTTGAGTATTGTCAAGAAAAAAATAGATTTATGTTATTAAATACATTAAAACAATTTCTTATTTATTTGCAATTAATTCATTTCACCATCAATCTTATGGTGATATCAACAAGAATGAAACTTTGTACTCATACCTTAAATTAGGATGTTAAAGAAAAATGAGAACTGAATACTTATATTTGATAACGTTTGCATGAGAAAATTGTAAACTCAGTTTCCTTGAAAAAACAGAAAGGCACCTTGTTTCTTAATTCTAAATGTATGAATGCCCCCTTTTATTTTTATTCTTATTTCAGCTTTTCTGACTTCCTGATCTCTGAATGTTAATGCTAGAAAACCTAAAACTAGCCCTACTGGACCTGGCCAAGGTCCATCTTAGTTTAGCATTTTGTTTCTGGTTTCTACAGGCACCTGGTAAAGGACTTACCAGGTGCCTGTGGTGGCTCACAAGCAGGAAGTGAAGACATATCCCTCTTCCGCTGTGATCCCAGTTCCGCTGCAACTGATATTAAAAGGCTTGCTCCCTTTAACCTAGAAATATCATTGATTTTTCAAAACTAAGAACCATTGATATATCTGCTATCCATGAGTTTATTCAATTCCCCTTTAAAGCCTTAACCAGTGATTAGGGAGCAAGAAGTGGATGCAACAGTGTGAGAGGTTGTGGGACTGCTTAGGTCAATTCAGTTGCATATTTATCTCAGAAAAGGCTATTCAAGTGTAGCTGTTGAGAGAGAGAGGAAAAACTACTCCAATAAGACTCAGCCATAGTTAATTCGTTGTATATGAACCTTCAAAATTCCTATTGTTGTTTTCAAGTGTCTGTATTTACCCCATCCTAGCATTAAGTATAACTCTCTGTTGAAATCTCTGTTGATCTGGATACCTTGGTCTTGCCATCTACATGAGGCAATCTTAATAAAGAATAAGAAAAATAAAAGAGTGCGAGTGAGGAGGAAAATGTGCTGTATTCCTGTTATACTTACTTGTTCTTGTTTGTCCAGACTATAGGCTAGTGAGCAAAGCATTCACAAGGAGAGAGAGAGTAGAAGTGGATTTGAGTGCAGGGCAGGGTGGTGGTGGTGGTGTCTAACTTACTTTTTTTTAATTCAGTTTCGCCTGCATAAGCACCATGTATATTTGAAAATAATGAGAACAGAGAATGTGTAACTTGCTGCATAAATTAATTGATTTGATAATTAATTTGCTCTTTTATTTAGCTTGTGAAACTTCCATGTCAGACAAATATAATAACCATCTTGGAATCGTATGTAAAGCATTTTGCCATTAATGCAGCTTTTTCAGCCAATGAGAGATCACGACACCATCAAATGACTTCACACACCAACTTGAATCTTCATTATGTCCCACCAGAAAAAAAGTAAGCAAACACTATTTAATTTTGTGTCTAAGTTAGGGTTTAAAATGAAAGGCTTAACTTCAAGTGAAGTATGTTCAGCTAGTCAGGTATTAGCAAGCTTAATAACTTTATTTCCCATAGTTTTTGCATTCACTTCACTTTGGATTAAGGAACAGTGATGGTGTTTTTCCATTATGTGGTGCAGATGCAGTTTTCATAGATATGCTAAATAAGTCATGCAGCCACTTAATAAGCTAACTATATCCATATTTTAATTTTTCTCCAGCTACATCATTTATCTGTTTCTCAGCATTCTCACAACATTACAGTATGACTTTCTTTTCAACTTTTTATTGACATAACATGCATTTCTTATGTTCCTTAAGAACATTATGCTCCTTATATTTCTTTAATGTATCACTATCATTCTTATACAAATCTCTAAAATACTCTGCAGTATTCCTTCTCTTCAGTTCCATCCCAAATCATTTCATCACTTTTATTTTGAGTTCCATTCTGGTGGAAGCTCCTTTCATCCATTTCCAAAGCTGTTTTTTAATTCTATCAAAATCACTCTGCATTTACTCTGCTATTTTGTTACTTGTTCTCTTTTATTACATTTTTTGAAAGCCATTTCAGTAACCTGTGCAAAAGCTAGGCTGTGGAAGGGAAGAGTAGATACTAGTAAGAAAAAAATCAGGTATTACACAGGGAGCTGAAATAGTACTCTGGTTAACGAACACGTAGATTGTTGGGAGCAACTTCCAATTCTTTAATCAGTATAAGAAACACACAAAAAATAAGTTGTCATTCCACTGTAGCCTTCTAGGCATTATTTTTGGCTTGTTTCCAATTGTGTGCTTCTGACCCCAAATAGATGCTTGAGCTAATAGGGTAATATCAAAACCACCATGAGACGTAATTACATGGGCATAATGAACTTGTCTGGCAGAGCTCTTCTGTAATATTTCATTTGCAGTTTATACTAAAATGGTACAAGAAGAGTTAAATTGGAACAGTTCAAGGGTTTCATCCATATTTTGCTCTCCCACTTGCCAAGCAGATACTTGTGAAAGTCCAAACAGAAGACGGGAGTGCAGTAGCATCTTGTAAGCCCTAATAGTTGATATTTAAAGTTTATTTTTCTGAAGCTGGAGGTGATATATATTGATTATTATGACTTTGTTCTTCAAAATAAATCCAATATCAACATGAACTTTATTTGTTATATAAAATGCTTATTTTTTTCTGTAATCCTATTTTTCTAGCGTTGAATTATGTAAAGAAATGGTGGATGGGCTAAGGATAACCTTTGACTTCACTCTTCCTCTGATTCTGCTATATCCCTATGAGCAAGCACAGTTTAAGAAGGTGACCTCCTCCAAATTTTTTCTACCAATAAAAGAAAGTGTAGCAAATTCTAACAGGTGCGTTTGTGTTTTTCTTCTTTTGGCATTCCTTTCAAGAAATAGAATGGTTTGATGGCATTATTTTTAACCTTTAGTCATAAAACTATAATTTTTACTGCTAGCCAAGAGCAAGCTGAAAGAAGACATTTCAGTAAAGATGAAATTCACATAGTTACTATTTAAAGTATTCTTTATTTGCCATATTGTTCTGCAATAACCACTTAACATCCTAGTACACCATATTTTTCTGTTTGATCAGAAATCAAGAAGAGCTTTCTCCAAGCCCACCTCTTCTGAATCCATCAACTCCACAATCCACAGATAGCCAGCCTGCAACAGGAGAACCTGCAACACCTAAACGTAGAAAAACTGAACCTGAAATCTTGCAGTCTCTAAGGCGCTCTACACGGCACACATCCAACTGTGACAGGCTGTCAGAAAGTAGTGCTTCTCCACAGCCAAAAAGACGAAATATTGAGGCTCCTGCTTCAATGCCAAAATTGTTTTTGCATCTTGAAAAAAGTAAGTTCTGTGTTAAGATGGATAACTGATTACATAAGAAGGGATAAAGATGTGAAAAGTGTTTTCAGTTTATTGGTTGTCTTTTAACAAGCTCAATCAGACTTTGATCATGATAAATTTGAGTGCTAATAATGGACATTTTTCAAAGGCATGGCACATGTACTTTAAGCTTTTATGATAAAATTGCCATCATCACTCTTTAAATAGACTTTTGAAGATTAATCTGTTCTTCAAAGTGGATCATATTAAGTATGCTACATTCAATCCATGTTGGAGATATCATGGGGATGTCTCCTGATCTGATTTTTGTTGTAATACCAGAATAAGTTGCAGTTGATAAAAAGCATGTTTGTAGTATGATAACATGCATTTCAAGTGTTTTCACTTAAATGTGACAGTTCTAGCAACCAATGATGGCATTTGAGGAGGATGGCTCAGAAACTATAAGCAGAGCAATATTGTAACATGCATTCCAAATGACCAGATATTAGAGTTATTAGAGACTTTTTTTATTTTAGCAACAGGCAGATGTCTTGGAAACATCAGTTCCAATCTGATTGTTTTGTAGAAGCAGTTGAAAGGACTTGCTTTATGCTAATAACTTGCCAGAATCCATTATCAGTTTGTTTGTAGCAAAATACTTTGTCTGATTTACTAGCTGCTAGCAATGTCCCTCCTTAGACATGAAGCCTGCTTGAAGGCGCACGTGCACACACACACACACACACACACACACACAGAGCAAAGAATTATTATATCCTGGATATTAGTGTGTGAGGAGTAATGACACTGGGGGATTAAAAAGGTCCATATTAGAAAATACATTTATATCTATTTTGAATATTGATCAAAGATACTAATGTGGTCATCACATGCATTTATACTTAATGTAATTTTATAAAAATAAGATTGCCTAAGTTAAAGGA